TTGAAGCTACACACACAGCATAATGGACTTATAGAACATTCTGCCTCAAGATGTGACTAGGGCTGGGTGATATCTGGTTTTCAACATTGCAGTACATCACCAGCTAAATATTGCAACATACTGATATATCACGATGTGTGAAATAAGGCTGGAATTATGTAGAGGCATTGGCTGGCTTCACGGTTTTTCCTGCATCATGTTTTTTTCATAACACACACACACACCATGATTCGCAATATATTGCCAGGTCAAAAATTATGAAACTGATATCACGATATGGACTTCAATCTGGTTTTGAACAGTATATTGCCTAGCCCTAACACACATCATGATTCATGGATACAGTGGTACCTCAGGTTACATACACTTCAGGTTACATACGCTTCAGGTTACAGACTCCGCTAACCCAGAAATAGTGCTTCAGGTTAAGAACTTTGCTTCAGGATGAGAACAGAAATTGTGCTTCAGTGGCGCGGCAGGAGCAGGAGGCCCCATTAGCTAAAGTGGTGCTTCAGGTTAAGAACAGTTTCAGGTTAAGAACGGACCTCCGGAACGAATTAAGTACTTAACCCGAGGTACCACTGTATATTGTTGTTGTTGTTTAGTCGTTTAGTCGTGTCTGACTCTTCGTGACCCCATGGACCAGAGCACGCCAGGCACTCCTGTCTTCCACTGCCTCCCGCAGTTTGGTCAAACTCATGCTGGTAACCTCGAAAACACTGTCCAACCATCTCGTCCTCTGTTGCCCCCTTCTTCTTGTGCCCTCCATCTTTCCCAGCATCAGTGTCTTCTCCAGGGAGTCTTCTCTTCTCATGAGGTGGCCAAAGTACTGGAGCCTCAGCTTCAGGATCTGTCCTTCCAGTGAGCACTCAGGGCTGATTTCCTTAAGAATGGATGCGTTTGATCTTCTTGCAGTCCATGGGACTCTCAAGAGTCTTCTCCAGCACCATAATTCAAAAGCACCACTGTATATTACCAGGTCAATAATTATGAAATTGATATCACAATATGAACTTCAAACTGGTTATGTTTAATGGTGACGTTTAATGGCTTTGAAGCAGGCTGAGACAATTTGATGAAGGATAGACTGCTGTTAGCTGTGACAGCAGCATGCCTCTGAGTACTAGTTCATTGGAGTGGGAAGTGGAGAATAACAAAGGAAGCCTGCAGCCTTCGTGTGGGTTTCATGGAAACGCCTGTCTGGCCCATGGCTGGGAAGAAGATGTTGGTTTCTGTGGCTGCTTAGTTCTGATTCTGTGGTTCTTCTCCACCAGCTTGTTATTTGGGGTCCCTTTTTCAGACCCCATTTTCGGGTGGCGCTGTGGGTTAAAGCCTCAGCGCCTAGGACTTGCCGATCAAAAGGTCGGCGGTTCGAATCCCCGCGGCGGGGTGCGCTCCCGTCGTTCGGTCCCAGCGCCTGCCAACCTAGCAGTTCGAAAGCACCTTTGGGTGCAAGTAGATAAATAGGGACCGCTTACCAGCGGGAAGGTAAACGGCGTTCCGTGTGCTGCGCTGGCTCGCCAGATGCAGCTTGTCACGCTGGCCACGTGACCCGGAAGTGTCTGCGGACAGCGCTGGCTCCCGGCCTATAGAGTGAGATGAGTGCACAACCCTAGAGTCTGGCAAGACTGGCCCGTATGGGCAGGGGTACCTTTACCTTTACCTTTTCAGACAGAGGAGACCTCCTCTGATTGTGATCTGGAGGTGCTCTGATTGAAACTGCCGAAGTACATGTTTTCTCTGCCAAGCGATCAGTCTTATGCCAACTCTGGTTATTGTTGTCCTGCAGACTTCTTTTCAGGTTCTCCGCTTGAGGGGGAAACCTGTGCCAGATTTAAGCTCCTGGCAAGCTGCTACTTTTGCCATCCACGCTGCTCATCAAACCAGCTTTTTCTTCTGCTGCGTCCAATCAATCGCAGCCAAAGGTGCAGCTTTTGTTCACTGCCAGAAAACCGCGAGATAGGTTTTTTAAATAGTTGTTGTTTTTAAAGAAGAGAGATTCTTGTCGCTCTTACCAAGCTGCCTTTTCCCATGTACAACATGTTTCCATGGAAAAATGCCCTCCTGGGCTGAAAATTTGCTCATAAATCCCTACCTCTTTTCTTCTGCCTTTCAATCCAACTGACAAGCTTGATATCATCATTATTGGCAAGCGGAGGCCAGCAGGCCAAGTCTGGAAGATCAAAGGCAAATCTCCCCACAGCTGAGATCCAGCCAAGACTAGACTGCATTGGATTTACTGTAAATTGCACTTCGTTACTGTTGGGATTCGGGTTTACAAAAGAAAATGTCTTGGGTCCGATGCCAGTTCTGGCTCTCGCTTTTAACTGCGAGCACAAAATGATAGTTTGAATCCCGGCAAATTTTATATCCCTGTTCATTGCACCTCCTCTTGCAGGAATAAAACCATTAGCAAGGACTTTATTTATAGTGCCCAGCACCCAGTAAATGTTAGAATTCTCCCCCTTTTAAAACACACTTTATTTAAATATTTATCAGTTACAAAAGAGCAGTGCATTTCATTAACAAACTACATTACATCCCCATTCCCCTCTCAGAGTTACAATTCTCAGAGTGGTTTAGTGGTCAGCCCCTCTTCCCCCAGGGAACTCTGGGAATTGTAGCTCTGTGAGGGGGAAACAGCACCTTTAACAAACCACAGTTCCCAGCCACCTTTGAGAGGAACCATGGCTGTTGGATATGTTTCGTATGGTAACTGCTTTAGATGTATATTGCAGCTGGGGCCTTAGTCTCTGCATCTGTAGCTGAAATAATTTGGCATCAATTGATGGGAGAGATCTCTGCTTGAGTGCGACTGTGAGTTTAGATGGAGAATAGCTGGCATCCCTAACTGCACTTTTCCTGTGAGAGAGCTTCCATATGTACATGCAGAAAAGCCGAACGTGATCCAGAAGGAAGGAGTAAAATGCTACCTGGAAGTAGTATCAGAATCTAGGAGGCCGTGTCAAAAGCGGTCACGGTTTGCGTGCCAAAAACCTGAAGGAAAAACATATAGACATCAACTGCAGCAAGACCTAGACAAGGTTGCAGGATGGGATTGAGAGAATGATAGCAATTGGAGCAGAAAATAGTTTTTTTAAGGTCACAGGCAGCAGCTCTGTTGCTGAGCCATTGCAAACCTGCTCCTTAACTGCCTGATTTAGATATACGTAAAAGATCTCTCTCTTGTGCTGCCTGTTCCTCTCTCTCTCTCTCTCTCTCTCTCTCTCTCTCTCTCTACGACTGGCATCTGTCTCAAAGTTCCTTGCTGTCTGGAAAAGCCACTGAAGAACAGGAACCCTCGAGTGACGCCAAGCAGTACAATACATTCTGATATATTTGATGGAGATCAAACTTGCTCTGCAGATACATCAACTACAGTCAGCAGAATGGGGCGCTTTTTCCGCCACGATGTCTTTCTCTTCTGCTGGAGGCAAAGGCATTCCTGGAAGGAGAGAGGAGAGCTCATGGAGCTCGTGGTGGTGTTCCTGCTGACTCCTGTAGAATTAAAATGGCTTAAAGGGAGCTCGTGTGCTACAGTGCTTCTGGTTGGGCTAGGACAGGGGTCGGCAAATATTTTTTAGCCGTGGGCTGGTCCACTATCCCTCAGACCTTGTTGCGGGCTGGAGAAGTGGCATGGGGGGGGGACTGGAAGAAGAGGCGAGTGGGGCAAGTAGTCCTCCTCCCCAGCCCCAGCCACTGTGCTTACCTCCCCAGGGGCTGCCACAACCGCTGCTGCTTCTTGTGGGTAGGCAGAGCGAGCTTGTCCACTCCACTCTCTGGCCCACAGGAGCCCCAAGGCAGCGGTGGCGGAGGGAAGATGGACCAGTGCGAAAGGGCTGGCTCTGGAGAGGGGCTGCTTAAAATGGCGCTCAGCCAGCTCAGCCCAGCCCCCTTCCTCCTCTAGGCAGGGCAGGGAGAAGCCTGGAAGAGGGAGGGAGGATGCGCCACCACAGTGTGTGAGAGGGATGGGAGGAATGGAATGGCACAGGGGGGGAAATGACGCAGCCCGAACAAACAGTGGAGCATTCCATAGTTGTCCTGGGGTATCAAGGGCTACGGGGGTCCCTTTTCAGTGACCCTGCAGCATTTATGTTACACCCTAAGGCTCTTCTGCCAGTCCTGGGGGTTTGGTGTGATAATAGCAGCCCACACCCAAACATTCTGCCATCATTTGACATCCCTTCTCTAACTGAGGCTCAGTTTGGTTTTCAACATCTTGCCCAAGAAAAGCATTTAATGTGTGTGTAGTGTGAAGATTTCCCCCCAAGTGCATTAAAATTCATCTATTTTTAATTAAATGAGCGGGAAAGCCATAAGCTGTAAAGAAATACCATTTTATCCAAATTTGAATGCAAGATAGGGAAAAGGTAGGTAGGTTATCCAAGGTTGATAAAATTCAAAAGGAAGTTCTGCTGGCTTACACAGCAAGAGACATTTCATTTCATTTCTTCATTTATTGAATTTATATACTGTCCTATACCCAGAGGTCTCAGGGCAGTTCACAAAAAAATCACAATATATAAAATCAAAATGAAAACAATAATCCAATAACACTCCCCCCCCACCAAAGAGCCACATTTTAAAGGTTATAGGATGTTTATTAGGTCAGCCAAAGGCCTGGTTAAAAAGGAACGTATAATAAAGGTGCCAGGTGAACTTCCCTGGGGAGAGCATTCCACAGACGGGGAGCCACTGCAGAGAAGGCCTGTTCTCATGTTGCCACCCTCCTGACCACTTGAGGAGGAGGCACATGAAGGAGGGCCTCAGAAGATGATCTCGGTCTGGGTCGGTAGGAGAGGAATTTACGTTTACCTGAATTATTGGGATCTGTCAAGACATCTGAAACTAGATCCAGTTCTTGGTCCCTCCTGTGTCATTAATAGCTGTGGATTTCCCTATGATTGCAATATGACCATAATCAAAGCTATATGCCAGAGATGGGGAATGTGTTGTGTGCTAATATACCGAACCCCATTCTCTTTTGTTCTCTCTTTCAGTTTGACCCTGAAAACACTGGCTACATCAGCACTGAGAAATTTCGAAACCTCCTCCAAAGGCATGGCTCTGAGCTAGATCCACACAAACTAGAAGTTCTTTTGGCCTTGGCAGACAACAATTCTGATGGGAAGATCTGCTACCAAGATTTCGTCAACTTGGTAAGTGATTCTGTGCTGATTGCAGGCTTGGCTCCAGGGGCCCTATCCTGATTTTCTGCTCCCTTCTCACCACTGCACTGGGCATCTCTCACCTGGAAGGGTGGTGTCAAAGAGTTCGCCTGAAAGGCTTTCCATCTTCAAATGAATTCTGGTTATAATGGCCGTATGCTGCCTCCAGAATCAGAAGGAGCATGTCTCTGAATATCTGCCAGTATAGAAGCAACAGCAGGCTATTGTGCTGAAGTCCTGCTCGTGGTCTTCCCAAAGGCTATCTGGTTGGCCACTGTGAGAAAAGAGGAAGGACTTTGGTCTGGACTGTTCTTATGTTTTTAAAAATGCTTCCCCCCACTGCCACCACTTCATATTGGCTCAGGGCTGGGTTTGGACCTTGTTAGTGAGGATATTGTTGATTGGGAAACTTGGAGATCCTTCTTGATAACTGACCTGATGGCTTCTGGTTCAAAATGTCCTGCCAAGAGCTTCTGTGTTTGCAGAGCAAATGTCTTTCCCACAAAGGTCAGGTGAAATAAAACAAAAATTCTTGGTCTTTTTGCAACCCACTTCTTGTGGAAGATAACAGTTTTTCTTCAGGGGAGTCTTAGCAAAGCAAACCCTTGAGAAAATCCAATGCTCAAGGATGATTCTTGCACTATCTTTTTCTGCATTCTGAGGCATACTTGTGTGCCTAATTGATAGAGGTGAATTGCTGAGTAAATATACTTGCAAACTCATTCTTACATTATTTTATACTTGCTTGGTAATTATTATGTTTAGATCTCAGTCTGCTTTTAGAAACTCAGAGCACCTTATCTGGAACCTCCCAATCATTTACAAAAGTGTGTCCTTATAAACATGCGTGCCTTCTGGCCTAGATGCATGATCTGAAACCTGAATTAGGACCTGCGTAAGATCCAAGGATCCCACCATTACTTGCATGGTGGTGGTTGCTGTTGTTGTACATAGTTTTAGAAGGAGAAAGACAGAGGTGGAGGAGGAAGAGGAGGTAGATGGACATATGTGGTAAAGAAAAATAGATATAGACCCCATGTTGTAAGTTGAAATGAAAGTAGACTTCTGAGTGTGAAAGTGCTGAAGGCCTAAAGCAGCCCAGTTGCTTCAGAATAATCCACTGTGTATAGAGGTTTACCAAAAGGACAGACAGACTAACCTTGGATTGGACTAGATGACCCTACGATTCTATGAACCTGTAGATTAACCTAAAATGTGTGCCTGTAGGTCAGTCGCAAAACCATACCTCCAGTTTGACTTGGGAATCTGCCTAACTCCCAAACCAATCCATTTGGCAATTGCATTTTATGACTTGCATAGTAAGATATGGTTGCTTTAATTTTTGAAACCTCTTTTTAAAAATTTTGATGCTGAAATCCAGCTTGACAGGGCTGAATTCCTCCTGTTGCAAAGGCTAGCAGTATTTCATTTGAATGTCTGTCTCTTTTACTGGATTTTGATTGCTTTATTTGCTTGCAAACAAAATCACACTTGAAGTGGTATAGATAGGTTTATGCTCTGCTCCTGGAACAGTAAGAAACGGCTATTTTGACAATATGGTATAGTTAACAGACATCCCCATTTCCCAGGGACAGTCCCCAGATTTACAAATTTGTCCCCGGACAAAATCCGTCCCCGGAATGTCCCCAGATTTCATTTAATGTCCCCAGATTTATATTTTAAGTGTTGTAGATTTATTAGTAGGGAATGAATGTTGCATGATTGGTTCAACGGCACAAGACACATCATATGGGGACTTTACGTGAGGCAAAATGGCGGGCGCCACGGCAGCAAGCAGCTCCTGAAGCTAGCCAGAGCCAACTGGCTCCGGGCTGCTGAGACTACCACTGCCACCGCCCCTGCCAAAGAGGAACCAGGGATGCCCGGCACGTCAACTGGGGGAACCACTGGCACACACACCCCACAACCCAAATCTAGCCAGGAGCGAGAGCACTCAGCCGACTGCCCAGCGGAGCTCTGGGGCCAGGAAAACCCTGGAGCCAATGCAGGGAGAAGGAGGAGAGGAGAAGGAGAAGGAAGAGAGAGAAAGAGGAAGGAGGGGGGGAAAGGGGAGCCCTGACCTTGCTGCTCTGCAGCCGCTGCCGCTGAGAAGGATAGGTAGGAGAGCACCAGGAGGGCAAGGACACGTGGCTGAGCCCAGGCCCAGCCCGAGCCTACTCCACAGTGGCTAGCACTCCCAAGAGAGCAGGCCGGGGCCCAGAGGAAGGCCGCGCAACAGAGGAGACCACAGAAGAGAAGGTATTTTTTTTATTAAAAAAAAAGCGTCCCTGGATTTTTTGAAAAAAATCTGGTAGCCTTACAATATGGTCCCCATCATTCCCAAACTCACAGCACCCCAAGAAATACCCACCCTTTCTCTGTAGCAGTCTCTTATTTACACACACCCCTATATTCTCCTCTCTGCAGCAGGTATGTTAACAGCTGAATTCAGTTGTTCATTGCTATGAGTGGCATCCCTTCCATCTTGCTTTAGCTGCTGGCCTTAAAGCTAGTGATCGCAAGCATAAATTAGGAGAGGTGCCTCCTAGATGTTGCTGGGCTACAACTTCTATCACCCTTGGCCACTAGCCATGCTGGCTGCGGCTGATGGAGCCCAACAACCTATGGAGGGCACACCAGCTGCTGCTGCTGCTCTAAATCTTTTATCTGCCATAGTTTCCTTGCTGTCACATATTCAGGCAACTGGCAAACATCCCTCTCTCGCTGTTAGCTGCTGCCTGTACCTACTTTGAGGAAAAGCTAGTAACAGGAGAATGATATCAATTGAGAATCAGTATAATGTAGTGGCTAGACAAGCAAGATTTCCGAGTATACATGTACAGGATAAGGCTGTGACACTGTGCAAGATTACAGCCCCAGTCTTTCTGAAGGGGAGGTCTTATCTTTGGGTCTTTGGAGTTTAGCTCTTTCTGAGCTCAGCCTGCTTTGGTCAAGCTAAACTCAGGCTCCAGCACCTCAATCTGTTCCTTATACATTTGTTTTTCTCCCCATGAGCAGAGCAGGAATGTTACTATGCCGCTGGAGCTGGATTTTGTGTGTGTGTGTGCGTGTGCTTGTTGTATCAGTTTTCTTTACTTAGCCAGGCAAGAAGATCAGCAGGGATACATGATTAACCTCATTAAATTGCAAACTAAGCATAACCATGATGAGCACATAAACGTGTGACTGTGTCTGTGTATGTCTTGTGAATAGTTTTTATGCACATAGTGAAAAGCAGCAGCAATAGAAGAATTTGCCAGCTTCAGTTGTTGGGGAGATGAAATGATCACTAGCTAAAATATAATGGATTAACCTGCCAATCCTGCTTTGCTGAGGGTTGAGAGTCTACCGAGCATGGCTGCTACTGATCAGCTTCAGTTGCGGTTTTTTAAGACCATGACCTCTTCTTCTGTTCCCCTCATCCTCAACGGCTTTCTGGGTTCACATGCTGTAGGCTCACAAGAGAATGTTCATGGCACAGAGTTGCTACCAGGTTATCCTAAATGAAAAAGCAAGACCTGCAAGAAAATATTACAGCATGCGGTAGAGTGCTCTTTTTCAGGATGCTTCATTTCATTCCTCCAGCAGCAACTCAAGATTCTGGGTCCACTGAGCAATGTCAGGTAAGCCAGCTGGGTCATCAGCAAAGATAGGGGCCTGATGGAGGAAACTTTGTGTGGCATGGAGACTCATAATGGTGGGACGTGCGGACACCCAGCGAAGCCAAGCTTTGGAAGATTCAGGGCAGACTAAAGAAAGAAGTTATTCAAAGAGCACTTGCTCCCTCAAAGCTGCAGCCAGTCCTCAGGAGAACATTGGAAAACGGTGGCATGATAAGTCTACTGCAATCTGCCAGAATCCCTTGTATCTGCCACTCTGTTTGACACTGTCAGGCGATCCCCACTTCCAATTTAAGATACCTTGGTTTTGAAAAGAAGGCTTTTCACAAGCAACTTCTGACCCAGACGATCCCTCCTATAAATGAGAAAGTTTCATTACATGTTTATTGAACCAATGTGGCAAGAAACCATTGATTTCCTATCACACCTAACCTTCTGTACCCATTCATTTACGTTTTTGCCGTTCTAGTCAATTGACCTACAGACACTGAAGCTTCAAATTAAATAGGAAATGGGGCCACTGTTCATTGGAAGCACCACTGAATGTTGGACGTCTTTCGAAGGATGTTTCCATCTATCTGAAGCCTGCCATTGTCTTCTCTCATCACCACATAAAGCTTTGAAGTGGACGAGTTCAGATCTGGAGGTGCCAACGTAGCAGTCTGATTCTGGACAATAAAATTTCCAGAAGTATATTCTTCTGGATTCAGTGGGACTTAACTCCCAGCATTAACTGTGCCTGAGGTTGCAGCCTAAATTCACCTGATGTTGGAGCTGGTCTGTGGACAATGTTCTGAGGTTAGCAGTCACCTGGTTTATGCGCGTGCATGCTAATTACTTGACAATTGTGACATCAAGTGGTGACTTTTCACATGGGAATAAGCTCATCTCAAATGAAATACTGCAGAGAGAACTCCCACGTGATTGACGTGCGTAAAATTATGAGTGGTGTGGAGAAAATAGCTAGGGGCAAGTTTTCCAGCATCTTCTGGGATGCATTCCTGAAGATAAGGAATGCCTTCTGTAATACTTCTGAAAACAGAAGTTCATGGTAATAACATTTATGCTTCTTCCCACCCCCAACCTCACAAAAATAATTCTAGAACTCAGGGACATCCAGTGAAGATTCCAGACAGACAAAGGGAGGGATTTCTTTACAGAGTGCATCTATGGGATTTCCTCCCCCAAGAGGCAGTGATGGCATTCGATTTGGATGACTTTTTAAAAAAGGACTGCACAGATTCATGGAGGATAAAACTATGTTCTGCCTCTGCTGCGTACTGGGAATCAGAAGAAGGGATGATGCTGTTGCACTCAGTTCCTTCTTGCAGATTTCCCTCGGGCGTCTGGTTGGCCACTGTGAGAACCGAA